CCATTGTTGGCTAAGGAGGCATTAAGAAACAAACAAGCAATCAATTTATTTGTCTGAGGCCGAATGAAAAATCTGTGTACAAAACATAGAACAGATGCACAGCGTGGTAATTTTTTGCTCATTTCAATAAATCAGAGCACATCACACTCACTGGACAGATTAAAGATTCATCTGTCACTAAACTACTGCATAAAGATGCTTTATTGTGTAACAAAACTCATTCATAGTGTTCACACTTGAAGTTGTCTTTAATTTAGAAAGACAGGGGATCAAGAGGGGAAATCTCTTACTAAGTATGAAGCTCAATAAAACATGTTTTGTGTAGTTCAGGCTTGCTGTATTTGGCAAAACATTTCTGAGTTTTAGGTCCTCAATGCTCTTCAACTTCATACTTTATTTGGACCTTTTCACTTTTTTGATTGGAGCGTCATTGATGAGCCTTTTGCAGACGAAATGTGCATCTGGCGGACAAAATTTCAATCCTGGTATCTATGATGAGTTTATTTGCTGTCTTAATGACATAATACCTAACATCTCCTTTTATTCTTTTTGATAAAACTTTCTAGGTAAAATAGTCATGGAAATGGAATTAAGAATTAAAGAGATCGTAATAAATTTTCTTTCCCTCACATCTGTCTCGTCTTAATCAGTTCTAAGGAAATGTAATACCGTCTTTGTCAACAAGACCAAATTACAAAGACTTCCAAACAGGCTGCCAATATAACCAAAATTATACTGGCACTTCAATAAAAAAAAAGACAAATCTATCCCATAAACCTCCTTGCCTTTAAAACCAATCATTTAAACTTGACAAATGTATTAAAGAGAGATCTTTGCCATCTGTTAGACTAAAACACATCATGAACGATTGACGATTTTTACAAGTCATTGAATTCCATGTTTTTTTAGAAAGACAGAAATTAATTTCTTATTTTTGATTCCTGTTTGAATCTACCGATAATAATTGATTTTTTAATCCAATATGATTTACATGGTAAAGTGGCTAGGCTTTTAAAGCAATATTTATTAATATAAGAGTATGTTTTTGAATTACTTTCCAATATACCGTTATTAAAATCAGATTACGATTACTTTGTTAAATTCTTTTCAACAATCGTCAGATAAATACTAAATAACATTATTATAATATTATAAAACAATAGCTCAATGTCATTCTATCTTGAGGCAATGCTGTGAAATTACACAATCATATTTAAAAAGTTAAATCAACTAAAAAGACTAATCCTCTTTGTGTTGGATGAAGTCAATCTTCTCAACACATTCAAAACCTGTTTCAAAAGAACCGATACAATACAATGCAGAACAAACTAATTTGAAAGATGGACAGATTTAAAAGACGACAAAAAACTTCATTACTGATTGTATCACACAAGAGCACCGGATTAACTTTGGTAGACAATTAGATAAAATAATTATTCTTTTCTGCATTTTGCATGTTACACGTCGCGTAGTATGACCTTATATCATCAATGTTGCAAAAAAGGGGCCATAAATAGGGTACCATTATTAATTCTAATCATAAAGATCTTAGAAGACTAATAAATTTTGTCTAATACACAAGAAATATCCCGAAAAATTGATTAATTCTAATTGACTTATAATTTATTTAAAAAAAAATAATTTCAAAGTTTCAACACAAAATTTAACACATTTTTTCCCTAACTTATACCTAAAACTTACGCACAGCTATAAGCGCCAAGATGTATTCAGGAGACAGACATATTGGCATTTTTAATTATAATAATTACGAACCCATTCCAATAATTTTTTCTTCTTTTGTCACAATGATGATTCACTTTTTATCAAGAGTGTCAACTTATTCTTTAGTGCCTTTCAAAGTCTCATTTAGATAATTTCTATTTTTTGCAATCAACCATAATACCTGATATTAATATTGGAAATGATTTCAAAACAGGAAAAGAGATATTAAGAACGTTCCAAAGTCCCTTTTCATTTAAACAAAGAATGAAAATTGGCAAAAAGAGAAACAAATAATTATTAAAAAGTTCTATCTTTATTTGAATCGTTTAACATGTTTTTTCTTAATTATCAATACTCAAGTAAATTGCCATTGATTGGTATTCCATAAAATCACAAGCTATTTGCTATTCTAAAAAAAAACATTATTTTAAATGAGTAATTTTTCCTGTTTTGAAGTTCAGGCTTCAGATCATTTTCATTATAAATTATTTTTTATACTGCCTATTTTTACATGTTTAATTACTCCCTTATAATTCATACATATTCAATAAAATAGCAAGCTTTAATTGCTATTCTAAAACAATTTTTATAGATGAATAATTTTTCTAATTTTAGTAGGCTTCACAACTTTTTCAATTAACATTTCTTTATTATATTGTCTATTTTTACAAGTTTATTATTAATAATTCCTTAATAAGTTAAAAGCCTGGTATTCAATAAAATTGCAAGCTAAACTTGCTATTCTTAAAAAACATTATTATAAATGAATAATTTTCCCCACTGGTAGTAGTATACAAGGCTTCACATCTTTTTCATTAAAATTTCTTTATTAAATTGCCTAATTTTACATGTTATTATTTATTATTTATAAATTATCTAGAATTGAAGTCTTTGAACGTTGCATCTCTATAATGTGTGTTAACTAAAACTATTATGCATTTCATACTTTATTATGGAAAAGAAAAGATATGGTTTAACGATTTTATGACACAAATGCACTACCCGCACATAAAACAGTACAATGCTGTTATTCATCTCAAATTCATAGTGATGCCTTCATCTAAGAGCAAAAACTTTCACCTCCACCTCACTGCAAGTGCTAGACAGCTCCTAGCACAGGTGTGAGGAGAATTCTTAGTTAATTGTTGAACAAGCTACAACTGTGCATTGAGCGCAGTTATTCGTAATGCATTTTCCATAGGGTACAAGTGGTGTTCCATATTTTAATTCTCGAAGACTACACAAACTAGGAGAAAATGGGTAGCATTTCCTGTTACTAGAAATGTCAGTGTTGCATAACAACCAAAAAAATATATATGGTCATGCAGCAAAAATTGACTTAAATGCAGTTGAAAAACATCGTCTATTTTTTTCGCTTAATAAAAAAGGCAGATTTTTAATGGTCCCGACATGCAGATATTGAATATATTTTCTATACTTTGTAAAATGTGAATTTGATTTTCTGGATTTTTTCCTGTATCATCCAATCAGAAGCCATACAAGATTCTATGCTGAGTACCATCTTGGGGTAAAAAAACTTGCCGGGAAAATGTAAACAAATAATTGCGCTCTTGTTCAGTGGTGGATCCAGAACTTTTTATAAGGGGGAAGGGGGCACTGACTGCCATAAGAGGGGGTCGGCTACAGTCATACTTCAGTGATTCCCTATATACATGTAATCAACCAAATTTTTCCCACATAAGGGGGGCCCGGGCCTCCCAGGACCCCCTCCCCCTCCCGGATTCACCTATCTGGTAACCAGAGAGCTGCAGCTGTGTTGTCATATTCTTTCCCATGGTCATAGTTTTTCTACATGTTCACGTTAATATTTGTGTTTTTGGTTTATTTTTTGGTTTATCTAGAACTTTGTTTCCATTCCATGTCAGAACATCATCTTAATGAAATTTGAATCAAACCAAGAATTTGCAAGAAAACTTGTTTAACACATGTAGAATTTAGTAAACTTGTTCCTCCTGTTTCAAGAAATCTTATCATCATTCACATGTGTACTGGCAATGTTAAAATATTCATTAAAGAAAAAAAATTTACATTTTCGCCATAACTCTTTCTTCTGTGTATAATATCCCATTTTTAAGAAATAGTTTCTTGTAATTGAAAACAAAGAAATAATCAATTTGACTAAATAAACAAATACCCATGTAATTACAAAAATCTAAGCTATAAATCTATCTTTTATCCATAGTCTATTCTTGGGTAATCATTTATTTAACCATTAGATAACGGTCCATTCTCTATAAACTGAGATTGTTGTAGGGATCTCTTTAATCAATTCTAACTTCTGTCACAAAAATGTTTTTTAACTGAGGCGGAGATTGTTTTCTTTCAAATTAATCAGTTTAATGATAAAATTGCATGCTAACAAATGTCCCATATTGTCAACAAATATCAATGCATTTCATTAAAATTGTTCAATTCTGTTAACTAATTAAAGCTACGCTGAATATTAATCATTCCTATAAACATGATAAAAAATATTTGAATCCCTATCCATCATGATAGAAAAGAAAGTTTTGGTTTTTTTTTCAATTGCCATAAAAATGTCAACAATTTTTTTCAGTATTGTCGGTAATAACATTTCAATTTAGCTTAAATTAAAATTTTGCATTTTGCATCTCAATGTCATTTTCATTTTAATGTTTAAGGAATGAGGAAGGACAATTGACCTTGGGGATTTTCTGTATTCTGCATATTAAAAAGGAAAAAAAATATCAAAGGGAACTTCGAAAACCAATTCATCAAAACAGACAGCTTATATAAAATGTCTTTTTTGGCCAAACAACAGCCATATCAATAAAACACTTGACAGAGAACAAGTGAAAGAGCAACAAACAAACAACAAAAACAAAAACATGGGCAAACTCATGATACTCCAGAGGGGTAAGCAGTTCCTGCTCCACCAGTTGACCCACCAGGCTCCTTATGTCAAATAAAAATTCTGGTTATAAGCCATGAATAAGGGGGTGATAATTGAGGAGAGGACAAGTGAAACACATATATACATGTATGTGGTCATCTGTGACACAGAAATTTCATAATAGTCAACTAAATCACTGTCTGTTAAAGCTGAAGAGAAGTCTTTTACTTCATCATGTTCATCATTTAGAACCAACTCTTTTTTCAACAGCTTCCATGTATCGAGTCAAATTATTTTTTCAATTCTATACATTTTTTTAACAAAACCTGACACAGAAAAACATTTATGGTATAACGATTTTTAGGCAAAACAATGTGTATCATTTTGTGAGAGTGCTACAAACCTTCTATTATCATCTTGTAAATTTAATTTTTGGCCATCTTTAATCCATTCTATCGTAGGAGTTATCTCCCCATTGGCAGTTAAATCCCCTACAAAAACAGCACAATCAAACTGAGCTGTTTGGTCCCTGATAGCTATCACATTCGTTGGTTCCACGGAGAAATAAAAATCAGTAAATTTTGGCACATCAACAGCTGAAAAAAAATTAAAATACAATGTTAAAATAATAATAATCATAATTAAACATTTAAAAAGAAAATAACTTTATGTTTTAGGATTGGCACATGGAGTTGTGAAAGTTTTGCCAACTCTGCAATGTAAGTGGCAAAATCAAACTAAGCTGTATTGACAGTGTGATATATGGCTTGCAATATGGGACATGCACAATTCAATCTTTAAAGATAGAGCTGTGACCTCTGATTTAAATGTCTATTTTTAGTAAATATGTGTTGTGGGATTACTGTCTCTGCGACATTTACCCACATCTTCATTTATTCACAGATGTAACATACCAAAAGTCCAAAACAGGTTGTTTTGATTTTATATGGATGAAATCGTAAATTTATTTTTCAAGGCAAATCGCAATCAGAAACAAATATTGGCATCAATCACATGACTTTGTCAGTAAAATCTATTTCAAACATATGCATGTACAAATGTAACATAAGGAAAGTCGAAAATAAGTTGTTTTGATTTTCCATGGATGAACTTTTAGTTTTAAAATTATTTTTCAAGGCAAATAGCCATCAGAAACAAATATTGGCATCAATCACATGACTTTGTCAGTAAAATCTATTTCAAAGATGTAACATACGGAAAGTCCAAAACAAGTTGTTTTGATTTTAGATGGATGAACTTTAAAAATTATTTTTTCAAGGCAAATAGCCATCAGAAACAAATATTTGCAGCAATCAGTGAATCACATAAACTCCTCAGTAGACATGGTAGAATCTATTTCCCTGGAACATTAGACAAGAAAACATATGGAATCTGTCATGCCTCTGTGAAAAAACAAATTTCATGGGTAATGTTTTGATTGCTCATAATCATGTAAGTTTCTGATTAACAAGGATCGTCAGTTTCCACAAAGGGAAACAGAATATGTAGCTCAAAGTTTTAAATCCTTGGGGAGAGATTTGTCTATGAAAATACAGTTTTTCCCAATTACTAGAGAATTCACAATCAGATATGTCAAGCAGAAGATCTGATTTTTCGATATAAACATACAAAAAGATGTTCTATCAACAGGATGAGTTGTATAATGTTGATTCAGGATTTTAATAGCAATCTAAAAACTTAAGTTATGTTCAAACTTACACAAAAAAATGTATCTTTGTCTTAACATTTTTTTTACAAATAAGCAGTTATTTCAGGGTTGTTGTATTTTGTTTCATCAAAATTATACAGGAGGAGTAAAACAAAAGATTTTCATATTTCAATAAGTGTAATAAGGGATTTTTTTAATCTGTTCCAATTTCCAATATGAAATACTGGCAAGACTCCAATTTGAACCCCATAAATTATAAAGGGACATAACTTAAACAGTGTTCCAGCTTGAATCTCAGGGCAGAAGGGTGCTAGTTGTCTGAAAGGGCACTTTAGCGTTATAACCCAGATTTTAAGGGCAATGTTGGACAGTGTATAAATTACCTTGAATATTGCTAGGCTCAGCTGGAGAACATTAGTTGTATTTAAACCATATTCAGAAATTAATGTTCTTGATGTTGGTTCCAGTAAGAATTTGTTTTCATCAAATTATCATACCATGAAGCAAGGCATATCATTTTGATGTTAATCTAAACAAACTTGTACATTTGGTATGGAAAATAATAATCAGAAATTTCAATGTTTTATAACTTATACCAAAATAAACAAGTAGTTTTGGAAGATGGAGTTATACATGCAAAATTGAATGTTGAATGTAATTAAATTATCTACATTTAAATTACTTGTTCAAACATATAGAATATATGTTATTGAGAGTTATTTATTATCATTTGAATTGTTACAAAAAAGTATTTTTAAGTGCACACCAAAGTGCTCCTCAGTAAGGAGTTTTATAAATATAACAGGTGAGACAGGAGATGATCATATTTTATATTGATGCTATAATATATTGCAGAAGGTATAAAGTTATAAACAGTTACTTTTTTCTCCATCATTTGTTAAAAATAAATTTGTTGAGTGCTCCTATGTCAGGAGGATTATAAAATACAAGAAGTATTAAAAACAGGAAGTGAATATTCAAAAATTCTTGTTATGTTCAAAGATTTCTTTGATTCCTCTTTAAATTTCATACTCATGGTTATGAAACAAAACATTTTTTTTACCAATTAAGTCAAAACTATGTTTGCCTTTAAAATTGTTTAAGATTTTATTTTTTATGTTATGCCTACTGAAATAAATTTTTTCAGGTGTACATGCTGTACATAAACATTACAAATGGATAACATGAGGACATTTCATTCTGTATTAAATATCTAGTATTTGTTCAATTATCTTAAATCTTCTAATTAGCAGTAAACAATCATTAACAAAGGTGATAAAACTACCAAAGCACTAGGTATTTAACTTAATCCCATTGTCAGTTAATTAGTGTTACACAATCAGGTAACAATTTTACCGGAAACGCCGGTAGGCATGAAATTTGGAAATTTTATTTTTTTGAAAAGGCAGAGGGGTGCATTCTTTTACTTTGGAGGGCAGAAGGGCGGGGGTAAGGGCACCAAGGGCGGGCCGTCCTTCTATTTAGGGCACGCGGGAACACTGTTAAAGAGAACTGTAAAAGTGACGCCACCAAAATTCGAAGTTGATCTGAGTTTTGTGGTAAAAAGCATTGTGTAAAAGTTTCATAACATTTGGTTGAGGCAAACTGAAGTTAGAGAATGGAAACGAAAAATTCAGCAGTTTTTCCAGATATAAAGGGGCATAACTCTAAATTGTATAAATGACGCCACCAAAATTCAAATTTGATTTCAGTTTTTGTGGTAATAAGCATTGTGTATATGTTTCATAACATTTGGTTGAGGTAAACTAAAGTTAGAGAAAGGAAGTGAAAAATTCAGCAATTTTTCCTTTTGTAAGAGGGCACAACTCTAGACCAGTAAAACTTTTACCACCAAATTCATACTTTGAATTGTGTTTTGTGGTTAAACTTTTATAAAATTTGGTTGAGGCAACCTAAAGTTAGAGAACGGAAACTAACTTTGGGACATATACATAAGGACAAGGGTACTACTTGTCGCCCCCTCTGATGCAGCTGGGGGCATAAAAAAATAACTCTACATTACAATATTGTATTGATAAGATCATTATAATCTAAACAAAAAAACTAAAAAGGAAACTATTAACTTTGCATCTAAAATAATAACAGAAAACATTTACACCTAAAGATAAAATGTGAAGGTGTACGAACTTATCTGTATTCTTCTTTGGCAAATTTTTGTCCCCTTTCCCCCTACCCTCACCTTACTCCCAAAAATAACAAACAAAAACAAACTAATAAACAACAAAAAACAAAAACATTATCTCTTCTGAAAATATGAAGTCAGACATTCAGCCTTTAATGAAAACATGATAAGTTAGAAGCCTGTAATTCAGTGGTTGTTGTCTGTTGCTGTTTATCATATTTGTTTTTCATTTATCATTTTTATTGTTTTGTACATAAATAAGGTAGTGATAATCGTTCATGTTTGAATTGTTTTACATTTGTCATTTCTTGACCTTTTATAGCTTGCTATGCAAGCAGCAATGCTGGTTTTGCTCATGGTTGAAGTCTGTACGGTGACCTATAGTTGCTTACTTCCACGTCACTTAGTCTCTGTCTGGTGGAGAGTTGATTCATTGGTAATCATACCACATATACATATTTTACATTATAATATTTTTGTTCATGCAATGTGCAATTTTGTTCAAGGAGCACTCTGGTGAATTTACCATGATACCTCCTTCTGGAGCACCTGAGATCCCCCCCCCCCCCCCCCAGTTTTTGGTGGGGTTCGTGTTGCTTAGTCTTTAGTTTTCTATGTTGTGTCATCTGTTCTATTATTTGTCTGTTTGTCTTTTTATTTTTGACCATGGCGTTGTCAGTTTGTTTTCGATCTATGAGTTTGACTGTCCCTCTGGTATCTTTCGTCCCTCTTTTATGTGACCACCTTGAATGCATGGTGCAGACATTTTGAAAGAAGGTGGCATCAAAGTAATTGACTGCTGGTGGTGCAGTAATTATATCTTGGAGACTTTATTTTTGAGCTCTGAGAAACAGGTCTAAAGGCTGATATATATTTGTCTTGGCTTTTGTGCCTTGTGCAGAGGTCAGTTTGTCTTACTGTAGTGAACATTTGGACTGAAAATTTACCAATCCTTAGTCTAATTCTATTGACCAACTACAGGTAGCTTAAATATTCTACAGAATCTACATGCAGAAGACTTAACACCCAGACTCTTCATATCAGTGTTCTCCCCAGGGCCTTAAAACACTGTGGTACCCTAGTGCTACATTTTCTACCATGGTGCTATCGTGGATGATTTTATAATAGAATGTAAAGAGGCCATGGTGCTTTGTTTTATGGAAAACCAGTGCTATGTTAACCTCCATGGTCCTATTTGAAAATTCTGGGGAGAACACTGCATACCCATGGTAAACATTGCTGGCATTGGATGTTGTGTTCAACAGCTGGAATATATGGACCATGTCACATGTATAAATTGTGTATTGAGGCCAATTTGAGGGTATGACATAGTGTACAAGAGAAACAATATCAAATTTCTGAACTGTCCTTGAATTTATGTGTGTAAATGTCATTTGTTTTGTGAATCATATATACATGGGCCATAAAATATACTTAAACAATGATTGAATATTTATAAATGCATGATAATAGTAAAAGTTTGATTTATGATAAATTAATGATAAATTAGTTTATCATTTCGTATATGAAAACATATTAAAATCCAATTTTCTTACTATACAGAAACAAATTTTCAATTAAAAACTGGTACTTAAATATTCATCTATAAATGAAAATTGTGGATTGATATTATTCAAGAACATGTGTACTGTGTGAAAATGAGCTTAAAAACAGGATTATGAAGACAGCAGAGGTTCAAATAATTATAGGTCCGAGGTTTAGTACAAGTTGTTTCTGGGAGGGGACTTCTCATTTTTGAATTACAAAAGTCAAGGACCTCATAATTCTTTATTCAGATGCCTTTTACAGGACCTTTGACTTTCTTAAGGCGGACCTTTCACTTACAAGTTCTAAATGTTCTGGACTTTTCATTATTTCAAGCACATGTTAAGCTTTGAACATGCATTGTTCAAGCAATTAGTCAATTACAATTCAAAATGGTCGATTACATTAAATAGTCATGTTTTTTTTTTGCATTTTTTAAATAAGCTAAGTGCAAAAGAGCCAACAATTGAATTTTGTTCTTAATAATCTGTCTAAACCATTGAGGTACATGTAGGGTACTGAACATTCAAACTGTACAAAAACATTTAAATGTTTTCACAATTCTTACAAAATATTTCAACACTTACCATACAGCTGCTGTAAAAAATCCAAAATCACAAACAGTGAAAAAGTCACATAAAATGTTTCTCTCATTTTGCAATTGAGCATCACAGAAAAAAAAACTTAAATCCAAAATTATTTCCTTTAAGGAGTTACCTCCCCTTTCTCTCAGAAATCAATTATCTCCCTTTGTCAATTTAAGTAGACACACTAATTAACTATAATTCTACATGGTTACTTGTGTCCTTATTATCCAATCTTATATTTCACATGGTATACTTTGTAATCCATATTGAATGGTTTTGTTGGTTGACTGTGTTAATTACATGCTTTTGATGTTCTTGCTGAAAAAGAAAATGTAAAACATTTAAGAGATCTGCTACAAATCATGCCAATATAATAAAGATATATGTACTTTTAAAACTGTCTACAGTTGAGTCTGAATGCTTCACATTGCCTGTTATACTATTTCTGAATTTTTGTTTTTGTGTTCACATTCCATTATCAAAACAATTCATATCTGCAGCTTCTAAACACATACAGCATAGTTCAACCTGCTTCAAAATATTTCCAAAAGACTCTCACTGAACAAATGAATATAAATATGTGGGCCCAATCCAATTTAGTTTCACCATTTTAATAAACTCCTCAGTAAAACTGCAGGCATCACTCAAGCTAAAGGGATAATGCTAACAATTTCATCTATATTTTTTGCATAATTCAAGGTTTCACAGACCATATATCATGTGTACATTCCTTACCAATATAATCAAATTACAAGATATTAGCCACTTTATCAGTTTATACTTATAACTTTTATACCAAGCACAGACTAATTATGAGGATCTTACTACATTCTTGTGAGCAAACATTGCTAGATTTTGTTACCACAATTTCCAATATCATTTCAACTTTCATGCTTACATAAGGGGCTAAGGTTACCATGTTCATACAATTTGCAGCGTGTAACATCCTTAATTGATTTGATAAAGGTTTGTTAAAATGAGGGGGAAGTTCCCTGTAAGCTTAGACATTCAATCACATTGAAAGTTAAATTGTCACTCAACGTAAAACAGATGTATAGAACAATAATACATGTTTTATTCTGTTTGTTTTAATTACTACAATCAATTCTTCATTTTAATATCTATTTACAAGAGAAAGGAAAAAACATCTTTGTCCTTGTATGTGTAGCCAGAGTTGTGCCTTCATTTGCAAAATGGAGTAAAAATTACAAATATGTATGTTTATAAAAAGGCTGATGATACCAATGGAAAAATCAAACTCATAAGTTGAAAAATAAACTGACAAAGCCATGGCAAAAAAAGAAAAGGACCAAAAGACAAACAACAGTATACAAACACAACATAAGAAAACTGAAGACTGAGCAACCCAAACCCCAGCACAAAAACCAGGGTTGATCTTAGGTGCTCTAGAAGGGTAAGCAGATCCTGCTCCACATGTGGCACCCCGACTTGACAATACCCATTGTTGTTTTAGGGGTTGTCGAGAGGGGTGATATTATCTGTTTTTATTTCACTGGGAAGTCACCTTAGTTCATCGCAACCAATGTAATAAACAAGTGTTATTTGTATATTTTCTCAATGTTTGCCAACTCAGGCAGTCAAACTGAGGACACTTTTAAACAACAATAGAGTCTCAGCCATAACAAATCGCATGTTTACACCTGTAATTCATCATAAAAGCAATTCAGAACATGAACATCTTGAAAAAATGAGCTTGGGTTATTTTGATTAATATTTACTTCATCCATCATCTAGGGAACATAATTCTACTCATTAAAATTTCATCAATATCCAATAAAGGGGAGATAATTGGTAGGTTGTCTCCCTTTTTCTTTTATGAAGTTCAAGATCAGTGAACTGCAGAACATCCATTTATCATATCTACCCTCTGCATCAATATACTGTTACAGTGATTGGTGGTCCATTCATTTTCTATACAGACTTCATGAAATAATGAGAAAATAAATGCAGAGATTTTTTATCCTTCATTGATTGAGTTCAAGATTGTTGACCTGTTCGATGTCCTCATTTATCATAAATGCCAGAAAAGATACAACAAAAGAATATCAACTTTATACATATCAACAGACTATTTTTTGTCCTTTGCTATTGTAAATCTGTTTTCTTTTGTATTTTTAAGTTCTAGTTTGTTAATGTTGGCACTTATTGTTTTTTCTTCTGTCTTTTCAATTAACTTAAGCCTTGCTAACATAATACTTGTAATAAGTGGTGGTTTTGTTTTGTTTTTTTGTTTTCCTTTCTGAATGTCATCTCATTTTGAAGTTTAAATCATCTCTTAATTCATTTAACATCAATGCAGTATTTCTGAACTTAACAACAATTTGTCCATCATTAACAGACACGTCATGTGCATGACCAGATACAAAATGTACATGTAGAAATGGGAAAAGTTTTATAAATATACCACTGAAATTTCATATGCTGTACTCTTAGTCAGAACTGACAATGCTACATCTCAGATAAATTTCTATTGTCTTATGGTCTGAGGGTCTGAATAGGGGGAAAAGGGGGGGGGGGGGGGGGGGGGGATGGGTGCTTTCATTTCTGTATGCTTTAATTCTTATGGTCATTTTTCTCTATTCATCTTTACTTTTCATATTATTCTCTATTCTATATATTATAGAATGATATTATTCTCAATTCTTTATTTTTTAGCCTTTATTTCTCTTTTCTTTTTTATTTAGTCCATTTTTCTTTAGTATTAGCCCATTATTCTCTAAACCCAATCAAGACCCAAGATTACTAACAATTGATAACTGTTTTATCTCACCTACAAAATGGACTAACCCATATTTACACTATGAATTGACTTTAAACATCCATTTATCACCCATTCCCTTAAATAAGGTAAAATTCATGAAAGAATCCCCTTCTTCAATACTGAACAGTTTCATTTTGCTTTAAACCTTAATAAAAGATACAGGGCTAACATCATGTTATACATGTATGTGATCTAAATTTAATCATAGATTTTCAATGACATTCTTAAACATAGCATATCTGCAATTGTAATTATAAAACGAAAAGGCAAATTTTGTTGTACTTTATGGTACATTAAACTATTATGTTTGTTGCAAAATTGCTGATATAACGTTTAATCGATGAAAGCAAAAATTTGAATTTCATAATTTTATTGTAAATTTCATTTCAAGTATGTACCATACACAACAAATTTTCACTTAGCCAAACATCTGAAGCCAATTACACCTTGCAAAGATTGCAAAATATTCAGCACCCCCTGGGATAATTACATTTTTCTTGTTTAGTGCCTTTTCTTCCACTTCTAATCTTTTCTTTGATGATTACTATGTCACGCTGACACTGTAGTATTCACTAATTACATACCAAGCAAAAATTTTGATAACTTTCAGCAACTAGTTTATACACCTCACCACAAACATATGGACAAAATTGAAGCTTAGTAGCTGACCTTCAATATAATCACTCTAGAATGTTAGCCAGGAATTAGAAAAATGCTTACCAACCAAACAACTACTTTGCAGAACCGAAAATTCAGACAACTCGTACGAGAAGGACTGTATAAGTCTACCAAAATGAACTGATATTGACAGAATATTGCAGAAAGTACTATATGTAGATATAAGAAGATGTGGTATGAGTGCCAATGAGACAACTCTCCATCCAAGTCACAATTTGTAAAAGTAAACCATTATAGGTCAAAGTACTGCCTTTAACACAGAGCCTTGGCTCACACCGAACAACAAGCTATAAAGGGACTTAGTGTAAAACCATTCAAACAGGAAAACCAACGGTCTAATCTATCTAAAACATTTATGAACCACATCAACAAACGACAACCACTGAACAACAGGTTCCTGACTTAGGACAGAAGCATACAAATACAGCAGGTTTAAATGTTTTAACAGGCGCCAACCTTCACCCTAACCTGAAATAATAGTGTAAACATGTATGTACTTCAAGATATCACTTGATTGAGCAAGTTATATTTTCAAATTTAATTTGGACAATAAATTTTACCATGATGTCAAATAATATTCACTCCTTTAACTTCTTTTCATATGTAAGAAATATTTGGAATGAGTGGGATAGATATAAATAATTCACATGCATATATCATTTTGGGATTCATAGAAATAAGAAGATGTGGTATGAGTGCCAATGAGACAACTCTCCATCTAAGTCACAATTTGTAAAAGTAAACCATTATAGGTCAAAGTTTAAACCATTATGGGTCAAACATGTTTAAAAGTTTTTTTTTGTAGATTTTCAAACCGTTTGAGTCGATCAATGGAATGTCAGAACAAAAGTTTCATATTAGAAACAGAATATTTGCATAAACGTGTCAATAAAATATTAAGGGAGGACATTTGGAGGCAGAGAATAGGGAAAGTCAGGAAAATCATAAACACAAGATTTATTTGTAATTTTTGGCCCTTAGTATCCAAAGTGTTTTCCCAGCCTATGTAACTAGATTAATGGTTAATAACTGGCAACATTATTGGTCTAGAAATTTACTGACCTTTACCTGCCCATATTGCAAGAATTAACATCAATATTTATCAAGGTTAGACCAACCTGCAATTGCTTTTTTCCATGTAACGGTAACGAATTAACATTCTACATTTAATAATTTTGAACCTGTCTGAGAATTTGGAAAATCGTCAAACTTTCTCCTACTTTAGAATGACATACAACGTAATTACCACCTATACAACACCTGAGATTGTGATATACCTGTTAATTACCTTCTTCACTTCAAGTCCCATCAGCCATGTAATTGCACGCTTATTTACTTTTATTAGCAGTTAACAAGTTTTCTTACAATTTTACAACAGGACTTTACCTAAACGAATTCAAATTTTACAGATTTATCTGTGTTTGAATGGATTCTTTACAAATTTACTATCAGACAATCCATTAACATTAAACTCTATAGAACAGTGTTTAATTGTATTTTTTTTATCTCCAAAAGCTGTAAAATGCTTTCTATTGGTTTTTAGTTATGATTGCTTTCCTTAGTAAAAATCAAGATCACTGTCTATACAAAATTCATAATTCTTGAATTGTGGAAAATTAGAGAGTTAGGTTTGAAGAGCCCAAAAAATAGAATTCTAGAGGTCACAACATGACCTTAATGCCATTGATGAAACAGTAACTTGAGTTAATAGGTCAAGTTCACAAACTTTACACAAGCTGACAACTATTCAACTTTCAAGAAATCCAACATTTGAGAATATTTATTACTATTTGTGTGAAAAGACCCTACCTTCCTTTCATAAGAATGAACTCCCTAAATAACATGACATTTCTTCCCT